CGAGAAGGAACGCGGCGCTGGTGAGAGCCAAAGGCTTCGAACGTGTCAAGATGCACCTGGGACCAGGGCCCAGTAACTCGCCCCAGCACCGCACAAAGCACAATGGTTGCAGGTGTTTCAACAAGCGCTGGGCACCTTATCCCACGGCCAAGGGGTTCAGGACAAAATGGGCAATTCAACCCTCTCTGGAAGACTGGTCATGCCTCGAAGTTGAAATGTCACAAATATCGGGGTGGGGGGGGTCAGAAGATGGAGCACGAAGGAGAGCTGGGTGAGACCACGGAGGATGCGCTAACACAGCATTCACCGGTGCCACACCATCTGTGTTCCAGGCCAGAAGGAAGCCAGGGGGACACAAGGAGAGGGACTCACTCCCTTCCGTGGACGCTTTCCCTGACTGTAGGGACATTATCCAAGAGCAGGGACATCACCCACCATGTTTCTACCAGTTGCAATAATATTGCCAGTGGCTTTTGCATGGGAGTGGGTCAGAAAGGAAAAAATTATTGCACGTGGGACATTCTGGAGGTTAGAGACACCTTAAAAAAACCCTGATCTTCTGTCTGGTCTAAAACTCCCTGAACCCAACAGAAACACTCCTGTTGCCTTCAACAGACTTACCCAGGCCTGATGGAAACGGAGGGCACCCGTGCTCTGTCCCAAGCCCTCCTTCAGTGCGACACGAGTTGGTCTCATCCCTTCTGCTCCGAGCTGCCCAGCTGGGAGAGCCGAGACCCAGACCGCAGCAGCTTCTCGCCGGCGTGGGCATGGTGGCGGCTGCCCCGGTGGTCTGTGGGAGAAAGCATGGCTGCAGAGCCGAGGAACCAACAATCCGCTCCCTGACAACGTCGGGTTTCTTGGCAGCACCCCCAGGAGCTCGCTGTGCTCCTCGGTAACCCCGCGGCGGAGACAAGCTGCCCCGGCACCTGCAGTTCAGTACCGCACCGCGCCAGGTCGGCGGCCAAGGTAAGCAGCTGTGGGGACACAATCAAAACCGCACCTGAAACAAAGCGTCCACCCGGCGTGCCCTCCCGCCTTCCAGCCCTCTCTGCCAGCTCCTGCTCCCTCAGCCTCGCGCAGAAGCTTTATAAAGCCGGCACAAGCCCTTGGGGTGGCACAGCAGGATACGGGCTGAGGTCGAAGAATGGGAGGAATGGCCAGGAAAGGTAAAGATGCCTTTGCTTTGATATAGATGCTGCTTGTTCTTCCTTGGGCATCTCTCTGCAAGGGTCGTTCTCATCAAGGCTTTCTGCAAAGGTGATAGAAATCTGTGCATTTTCTGCAGGTTAAACTTTCTGAATCACTTGTTTCCTCAAAATTGTACGAGCATTTCAAACATTATAAACAATTCCCAAATGTTTTTCAAAGGGAGATAACTCTTTCACGTTTTTACTTGATTAAAGCCTCCTCCATAACTTCCATCCGCTCCTCAACTACTTCCATCTCCTCTCTACTGGGCAGTTTTACCGCGGTCGTAGGCCATTATACGCTCTTCGGCAGCACGGCATCGCTGCGAGCGTCCCCCTGACCTATGTACTTGCAGGGGGGTTTCAAGCTGAGCCTCCTGTTAGTGCTTTTCAATCCCTGTGCGAGCTGTTGCTGCACCGAGGCTGAGAAGCTCGGGCGCACACACCCAACCCAGGAGCGGATCGGTGGCTCCAGCCTCGGTGGCCCTGACCGGGTGCCCTCCTTCTCCAGGCGCCCGCATGGCGAAGCTCTGCACCCTCAGCATCCTCCTGAGCATCCTCCTGGTCCCTGCTCATGCCAGCAGGTCACCCGACTGCGGGGGCATCCTCACCCCTTCAGGGCTGAGCTACAGTAAGTCAGGACCCCGCATCTCCCACGCCGTCAGCAGGGAGCGGGGGCAGCAGCATCTTTCGGTCCGGTGACAAAATCACTGTCACCAGAAACATGGGTGGTTAATCAGCTCTCCTTCGTCATCCCCTTTTTCTCGCTAGTAACAGGGGGAGTTAGTAAGGGATGGAAGTGGTTCCTGGATGGATTTCAGTCTGTCCACCTCGATGCCTCAGACCACAAGCTCCAGAGGGTCTGATAAAACGTTTGCCCTATTTCACAGTCGCTGAAGTGTCAAAGCCACACGCGGAGACAGTCCTCAGTCAGGACCTCATGGCCCCGACAGTCCCAGACCTGTTCCTCGGCTCCCCAAAGCCCAGCCGGTGAGTCCATGGCTCTGCCTTGCCCAGGCTTGGCCGCTGCTCCGCAGTTCACGCTGGTGATCAGCTGCAGCGCTTTGAAAATCGTCAAAAAAGGCATTTTGCCAGCGAGGGCAAAAATCCTCCTGGAGACCGACGTGGATGTTTGCCAGTGAGGTGTGGAAACGAGCTCCTGGCTCCTCCTTTGGGGTCTGAGGGCAGCAGCCCCGGTGTCACGCGTGGGGCATGGATTTATGCATGCAGATCTCACGGCTCTGGGGGTTTGCCCGCGCTGAGAGCAGCCAGGGGTTGCCCAGCAGTGCTGCTCCCCGACACCTCCATTTCTGCCCCAGCAGGATCCAGATTAACTCCGTCAGGGTCGCCGAGCTGGATCTGTCACTCATCCCCGACGCCGGGCTGCAGCTCAGCATCGACGTGGACCTCGGCATCACACCCGCCCCGTGAGTGCGGGGACCGAGGGGCTGGAAGCAGCCCCAAGCCCCCAGCTCCTGGCTGAAGCGGGAGCAGGAGGGGTTGGAGCGAGTGGGACTGGGAGCACCCCCCCACGCTCCAGCCTCCCCCTCTCCCCCCGGCACAGCTCCACCACCAAGGCGATGCGGCTGTCCATCCTGGCAGACCTCCACGTGGAAATGAACCCCGAGGGGAACCTGGAGCTGGTGACCTCCTCCTGCAAACCCACCGTGGACGAGGTGCCGAGCACCGCGGAGTCAGAAAGGTCGACCCTGGGGTTTCCTTGTTACAGGATCTGGGTAGAGGGGGGAAAGACCCTGAGGCACAAGCATTTCTAGGCAGGAGTGCGATATGACGAAGGGCTCACTGCCCTAAAAGCTTACAAAGTTTTCCACAGGTCCTTTATCTTCACAGGAGGAACTCTGTCAGGCTTGTGGGGTCAGTTCCCCTCATTTTGAGTTTCCTTCTCTGATAAGGGAGGGGATACTTTAAGTGCAGCAGGAACACTTTTAATGTGAGTCCAGCAGCAATTCTTCAGAGTTTTAGGATTCTGAAGTGTCACCATAGCTCAACAGACAATAGAAAATAACAGCAACCCTGTCTCCGGGTGCCTTTTGGGTCAGATAAAAGACACTCACCCACCCTCGGCTGAGCTGGTTCTTACCTGGTTCTTCCATTCTGTTTTCATCCAGCAAGTCCTCCAGTTCGGACATGGACAAGGAGATTAATGTTGATAAGGTAAGATGAAGTCTGCGAAGGCAGCAGGAGACCCAGCTGTAGAGTTCTGTAAGACTGAGAACACTTTAAATCAACCCTTTGCCAGGTCCCCTCTGCAGCCCCAAGGTCACCAATCCATCCCCCATCTCCCGGCTGTGGTGTGGCCAGGCGGTGGGCACACCCGCACCTGCAGTGGTCGGGGGATGGGGGCCTGCAGACCCTCACATTCATCTACCACCTCCCCGTGTTCTTTATTCCATAGGTTTGCCTGGAAGTCTCCAAACTGCTGCTTTTGCCAAACGAACAGCTGATGTCTCTGACAGGTGAGCACTTGGCTTCCAGTCTCCTTATGGACTGAGGGTTTGGGGCTCATTTTGGAGCAGGGACAGGCTCCCCTCCCGCAGCAGAAACCCAGCTGCTGGCATCTCCCCGGGGACCTGCTCTCTCT